CAAACGCAAAACACAACAAAAAACTACTTTTTTATATATTTCTGTTTCGTTTTTGCCTTCACAATTTCTAATCAATATTTCTTAAAAACATTTAAATGTTTTTTTCTTCTGATAATCCCTATGATAATCAAGCGTTAAAATGTGTTTATTATTGAAGGAAATGGTGAGCATGGAGTGTAAACAGTGGGCAAGCAAAGGCATAAACATAAAATGTGAGAGGAGAGACAACAGAAATGGCTACAAAGCTGGTGCTCTTAAACAAGGCATGAGGCATAGCTACGTCAAACAATGCAACTACATTGCCATATTCGATGCTGATTTCCAACCAGAGCCCGATTATCTCCAACGTGCTGTTCCTTTCCTCATCCACAATCCCGAGCTCGCTCTTGTTCAAGCGCGATGGAAATTTGGTATGGAAATGTTACATACAATTGATATAAACAAAATATTTTTAAATTATTGTCGATTGGTTTTGAGATAACGATATTCATTTACTCATATATAGTCATATCGTTTAATGAAATGATTCGTTGTTGCAGTGAACGCAAACAAATGCTTGATGACTAGGATGCAGGAGATGTCACTCAATTACCATTTCTTGGCAGAGCAAGAATCCGGATCCACTAGACATGCTTTCTTTGGTTTCAATGGTACATCCTTATCAACATTTATTTAAATACTTTATCCTGTGTTCATTTATAAGATCCTCCAATTCTATATTCTCTTAGTTGTATTGCTTTCCAACTAATAACGGCTAAAATAAGCCACATTTATTTGCACATATATTTTTGTTAAATAAAAAATTGATAATCGCGAATATGAATTTCTAACTCAAAACCGATTAACAATAAAAAGATAAACACAAAAGTTAATTTTTCTAATAAAAAATATATTCAAACCCATTTTGTAATTGCTGAAATCAGTACAAATGTTTCTTTACATTACTTCGATTTAGTTTTAGACAGTATAATTGGAATTCGCAGGAACTGCGGGTGTATGGAGAATGGCGGCGATGGAAGAAGCGGGCGGATGGAAAGACCGAACCACCGTAGAGGATATGGACTTGGCCGTTCGTGTTGGTTTACACGGCTGGAAATTTGTCTTCGTCAACGACCTTGAGGTATATTCACTAGCTGTAAATAATTAATGTGACCAAACCTATTTGTAATTTTGAAAGACCAAATCTTACCTCGTATAAAGCAGTCCAAATCCTTTAATTATGACTCGTCACATGTTTTGTTTCTTTGCACACACTTTACGGAGAGTTTCACTCCACATGATTTAAAATAGTAATATCCAACAGTATGGTAACATTTTCCATATGGAATAATATAATATGCATTTACGAGTGGATACCAAATTGGCAAATACCCCCTAAGAGCATCATTATCCAAGACACTCGTATACTTTTTTAATCGTTATATATAATAGAATAATTGTGGATTGTAGGTGAAAAGTGAGCTTCCAAGCCAATTTAAAGCTTTTAGATTCCAACAACATCGATGGTCTTGCGGTCCAGCTAATCTCTTCAGGAAAATGACAATGGAGATTATTCGCAATAAGGTACACTTGTTCATTTTCTAACTTAGATTTATTTCATTTTCATATAAACACGTTACCATGCTTTTTGGTCGCACGTGCCAACTACTTTATTTTGTTCGTATTTGCCATTATGTGAGATAAGACATCCAATGTGAGGCATGATACCAACTACCAACATACCAATTTAAGTTTCTATATGCATGTTTTTTATCTTAATTATGTATAAATAAACGTTTATGATACGTAATGGTGAATTTGATTTGCTAATTTGAACAGAGAGTGACGATTTGGAAGAAATTGTACGTGATTTACAGCTTCTTCTTTGTACGGAAGATCGTAGTCCATTTCTTTACTTTCTTCTTCTACTGTTTCATTCTTCCCACGAGTGTATTCTTCTCCGAAGTCAACATTCCCACTTGGTCAACTATTTACGTTCCGCTTGTGATCACTCTATTCAACGCCATTGCCACGCCAAGGTTAGTACTATAGCTACTTCTATAACCCATGCACGTACAACATTTGATTTGTTCAATTG